TGGTGGTGGTGTGTGGTGGTGTGGTGTGTGTGTGTGTATCTATGTGTGTATCAATAAATGTATGTGCGTGTGTGTGTGTGTGTGTGTGTGTATGTGTATGTCTTTGTACGGACACGAAATCAGGAGAATCAAAAGGAAAAACAATTTATCTAAACATACATCTACGACCTAGACTAACCGCACTCTGTTATGCAGGTATGTGCTAGTACAATGGTAAAACAGCACAATAGAATAATATTACAAACATATTGCAACTACCATGACTTACTGGTAGCTGCATATTAAACTGCTCCAGCATACGACACTATTTAAGCTTACGCACAACCCGTATAGAATATAGAACACTGTCTATATTCTCAGCCCATTACTCCAATGTATATTGCATTATAAGTGGCGAACGCAGGGCGGGAAAGCATAATTAAGTAACATAAGTACCAACGCGACCTAAGTCTAACACTCCAGGTTATGACTCGCGATATCTACCAGCAAGCATGTTTGTGGTACTACAACGTCTGTTCACTCACTTTAGGCTGGTATATTCACAACAACTCACAAATGGAAGCGATCATCTTGTTGGTGGCTTCCCTTTAGAAGAGAGGTAGTAGGCATCAGCAGACCGGTGCAGTCACGATATCTGAGAATCGTGAGTTTGAATGGATGACTCTGATGACAAGTTTGGCTATGCGATATACCCAAAAACCCTATATAAATACAATTGCACTCTGCCACTCTGAGTGTATTTTAATAGGTAAATGACGACACCCATCCGTAACTTCGCGCTATGGCCATATGAATGCTAACCAATTCTAGGTAGCGACCGTCGAGTTCGCTTGGGCATACGTGAGAGTGGTGTACATAAACTTCAGAAAACCGTATAGTCGGATGTATGTACGTGCGCACTAATGAAGGGTTCCGCGACGTGTATGTGTGCGACTGTGTACACGATCATATTTTGCCATTGGTTTTTTTCTTGTCTTTATAATGTATTCGTAACGCATAGGTTTAGCTGGCTTCCAACAAAGAAACTCGTGTCGCTGAGATGGCGAAAAGTTCATTCTGTGAAACAACGCCGTACATATCAGAGGTACGATGCGTGCAACGCGAAGAAATATGTGCTGGCCGAAGGCATTCTCGGTCCACATCATGCTGAAGGAAGTAAAAGTCTACCTTTACGTCATTTATATGCATACGTCCGTCTAGAATATATATATATATATATGTATATATATATTCTGTGTCTGTGTCTGTATTTGTGTCTGTGTCTGTGTATGCACGTACATGTTTGTGGGTTATGTATGTATGTATGATTGTGTACAAGTATGTATATATTTATGTTATATATATATATATATA